AGCCTTTTAGACAAAAATGGTTTGGCTATTCGAAAATCAAACACTTCAGTAAGGGTGGAAATGGCTTGCTGAAGATTTTTTTACCAAAGTGTAAATGTTTCAACTATAAACTTAACTTCTGGGAAAAGGATTATTCCTAGCTTGAAATCCATGTCAAAATTTATTGCGAAAAATGGACATGGGGGTTGAGGGAGTATCCAGAAGCCTGATAGGTTGGGTTCATGATTTGGAAGAGCTAAAGGCTCTTCCTGTAATTAGATTAAGCTGTGTTCTGGGTCGTTATTGCATGGTATTTTCACCTTGATCTAATCAATCAGTATTTATTGAGAATCTAATACGTATTCAGCACTGCTAGGAATGATAGGAGATAGAGGGAAGTAATAAACATGGTCTCCCCCACCATGACACTTGTGATGGATGACATTCATATAAAAGACACACTCCTAGGGGCTGTGGCATAGATAAGATCATCTGTTTAAGGGAGCATATTGAAATTCAAATGAGTGGCAGAGACCTTATCAAAAGGGAATCTTGAATCTACCCATGTATATCATTCATTCATGGACTTTGTTACTTTTTTATTAGTTAACCAGTTACTTGCTGTATACTATAATTTACCATGGCACATCAGTTTGTTGCAAAGTAACAGTTGAAAACTGTTGTTTTGGAGCTTATGACAGAGGGGAGACAGGATTTACAGGCACAAAATAAATGAGTAACTCATGATAGTGTAAAATACACTAAAGTGTGGGGCTATGCACTATGACTGCTCCTTGAGGGCTTTTGTAGGCAAGGAAATCTTTATGGAGAAAATGGCTGCTGAAAAGTGGACAGCATTATCAGTCTGGGTTCTTAATTGTAAGCAACAGAAATAAAATCTCATTGTTGTTTTTTTTTAAGCAGAAAAGGAATTTATTAAAAAGATATTGGGACATGTGCAAACCCTTTGACCCTGCAATTTCATTCCTAGACACATACCCAATAGACACACATACACCTGTGTTCACCGATTTGTCCATTTGTAATAGAACCAAACTGGAAACTATCCAAATGCCCATCAGCAGTAGCATAGACAAGTAGTGAAAGAAGGCTATACACAGAGAGAAATGACAAACTGCAGTTACACACAACAGCATGGGTGAATCTCACAGACATAATATTGAGTGAAAGAAGCCAGATACAAAAGAGAGCATAGTGAATGATTTCATTTACATCAAGTTGAAAAACAGGCAAAAGTAAACTATACTGTTAGAAGACAGGATGGCAGCTGCCCTTGGGAGGGAAATCATAACTGGAAGGGGGAACAGGGGGACTTTGAGGAGTACTTGGAATGTTCCTGACACAATGTTTCCTGACACAAGCGGGTTCAGTTTGTGAAAATTCTTTGAGCTGTATACTTTGTGCACTTTAAATCCCTTCCGAATGTATGCTGTGTACTTTTCTATATGTAACACATCAGTAAATTTTTACTTTATAAAAAAATGTTCATTAGGTAACTCAGAATTACTGGAGCTCTTGACTGTATACCCCAAAGCCTAGTTCAGTACCCTAACTCATGCCACTGAACTGCACTGCCATCACCAAGCATTAAACTGCAGCTTGCACTGCTGGCCACTGCCATTAGCTGTTCTGGCCTTGTTGCCTGGGACCCTGATCCTGCTGTAGCTACTTCCATCTGAGTGTGATAGTTCCCTTCTTGGCTGCATTTCACCGCCCTCTTATTCAGAATCTGGGGTGGATGCCTTTGCTGGATGGAGCCTAGTATAAGTAAGTGCCATCCTTACCACAAGGGAGGCTGGGAAAGCAAGTATCTAACATTTTCAGCTGTTGTAGTGGGTGGGGATATTTGCCAGAAATTGTAACAAAAAGGCAGGGTGGCGGGTGTTTCAGATTTTGGGACAGCGAGAAAGAGTGAAATCCCTCTTGAGGTGAGCAAGTAGATTTCAAATGTTAGGAGCAGTAGAAGCCTGGGAGGTTGACTAGATAGAGCATGGCGAATGGGTCCAGTGGAGCAAGTTCAGGCAAATTAAAGGGTGTGTTCTGGGAACATGGCTTGAGAGAAGTTGAACGAATAGGGTGGGACAAGATTAAAGATTACTTTGAAAGTCAGGCAGAGGAATTTAAATTTAATGTGGGAATTTTGGAGCCAGTAAAAGGTTTTGATCAAGAAAGTATCCTGAGAGAAGAGGTATTTAATTTTAATTTTTAATTTTAAAAAAAGTTTTTATTTTATTTATTTTTGGCTGTGTTGGGTCTTCGTTGCTATGCGCGGGCTTTCTCTAGTTGCGGTTCGTTGCGGTGCGCAGGCTTCTCATTGCAGTGGCCTCTCTTGTTGTGGAGCACAGGCTCCAGGCACGCAGATCTCAGTAGTTGTGGCTCGTGGGCTCTAGAGCACAGGCTCAGTAGTTGTGGCGCATGGACTTAGTTGCTTCGTGGCATGTGGGATCTTCCCGGACTAGGGCTCGAACCCCTGTCCCGTGCATTGGCAGGCGGATTCTTAACCACTGCACCACCAGGGAAGCCCCAGGAAGAGGTATTTAAGGACCATTAATCTGACAGCAGTTCTAGGGGTAGCTAGGAGGTATCTGTAGTAAGTTAGGGGTGTGGTGGTGGAGTTGGAATAGAAATAAAAGGCAAGGGATTGGATTTCAGAGGGGATTTGAAGGGAAAAAAATCAATAGGACTTAACAGAGAATGAAGTAGAAGCTAATTCCCAAAACCTTTCGAGCCTGAGTGTTGGGACAAGGTCCTGCCTTTCCTTTCAAGCCAGTGAGGCTGAGAAGGCGGGCTCCGTTTGGAGGAAGTCGAAGAGTAGATTTTCATTGTGGGATTGTTGAGTATGAGGTGATAGGCATTGAGTAAAAGTGGCTCCTGTGCAGTTGGAGATGTAGACCGGGATGCCAAGGAAGCCCTGTGAAGGCATAGATCTCACAGCGACAGGGGCTATGAAGGCATGAGAACAGAATGTTTGGGACCCTCGGAGCATTTCTCAGTTCTCATTTATGGGTTGGCAGATAGACTGTTTTGGTATTAATGTAGTGGCAAATGTGAACCACAACCTGTGCCTTCTGCTCCATAGCGTGGAGTTCTCCACCCCAGCACACGTTGATAGTAATCATTGTTTTACACTGTTTTGTTTGTTACTCTAATATCTTTGGAAAGAAAATGATTAATACGTGCCAGGCTTTTCTTGGTTGTTTCTGATAGTTTTGAACGCTTTGAATATTCACAAGGAGAATATGTTAAAACGAGGGACTTTAAACAAGACCAAGAGAGATTGTGTATGGAAAGCAGGCCTCCAGGTGATTAGAATTCTAAGCTGCAGTTTTCAACACCACTGCAGGGTAGCCTTGGATCAATGATGCCAGCTCCATTCCAGATTGTTCTGAGAAAAGAAAGCCTGTAAAACCTACTTGGGCCTCACAAGGTCTTGTTGGAGCCTTAGCCAATACATTTAGGCATTGTCAGCAACCACAAGCTTTAGCGTATCAGATTCAGGCTTGGTGAGGCAGCCCGGTCTCCAGAGCATGCAGAGCATGACGAGAGCTTTGCGTGCAGCTTGGAAGCTGTTGCTGAGGCATGCCTTCTTGGTATTCCTCTTAGGACTTTATTCTCTGTAGTCTATAGCGTGTCCCCACTTGTAGGTGACGCTGGTGTGCTCAGGTATCATTCAAGGCTATGCAGCTATCTTAACAGGAAACAGCTCACCCCTTGGGTATATGTGTGAGACAGTGAAGAAAATCCTTAGATGGTGGCCCATCATTTCTGCTGCTGGTAAGTGTGCTGGCGTATCGTATTTTGAGTCCTTGGGCTCTTCAGTGTAATAGGTAATGTCCCCATGTTTAACCTAGTCTAGAAGATGAGAGTCAAGTTAGCTGAAAAGTCCCAAGGCTTTTCTGTCCCTGAAAGGTTTCTCTGCTAAAAGAGAGGTAGCAGGTTGAGAATGTAGGAAGGGACTTTAAGTCCATGTCAAAAGATTTTTTTTAAAAATAAATTTATTTATTAGTTTTGGCTGTGTTGAGTCTTCATTGCTGCGCATGGGCTTTCTCTGGTTGCGGCAAGAGGGGGCTACTCTTCGTTGTGGTGCATGGGCTTCTTATTGCGGTGGCTTCTCTTGTTGCGGAGCACGGGCTCAGTAGTTGTGGTTTGCGGGCTCTAGAGCGCAGGCTCAGTAGTTGTGGCGCACAGGCATAGTTGCTCCGTGGCATGTGGGATCTTCCTGGACCAGGGCTCAAACACATGTCCCCTGCATTGGCAGGTGGATTTCTGAACCACTGCGCCACCAGGGAAGTCCCATGTCAAAAGATTAATTAGGCTTCCTAATCAATTGGATTTTATTATGAAACAAAAATGATGAACGCTGCATTTATAAAAATTAACCTTTTGCTCATGGATCTAACAACCTTTGCAGTACTGTTCCTTTGGTCATGTGGTACACACGCTTAGCCCTGGCCCACATCATCATTTTTTCACATTGGAATAAAATAGTTCACCAAGACTTCTAAGTGTCATAGGTCACATAGCTTGTAACAGGATTTAAAGCAGCAAGACCACAGAAATCAGATCTATCATTATTTATGTAGAGAAAGTTCCACCAGCTGGTTTGAGAAAAGCAGGAGTTGAACACCCCTCCCATGCTTCCCCTTCGCCTCATTTACCTTAAAAAAAAAAAAAGTCCTAACAGGTAAACTATAATTGCCTAAAACAAAACTAGCAAGGCACAGAGTGTGGAAACGAATATTAGGAGGTAAAAGGCAAATGTCACCAGTCTGTGCCATTACCTGAGCATCCTGTGTTGAGTAAACTTCTTGGGGAAGGGGTATTGCTAACTTTATCAACAGGATTTCGATGAAAAGATAATCGCCAAGTTGCCATATATATTAAAAATACTTTGTTTCATTTTAGAGCTGGTTGAACTTCAGTGCTGGATAGAGCTTGTTTTTATTTTATGTATGTTTTGTAGTCCAATTTAAAAATCTTACTCTTTTTAATAAATCTAGGAGCTGTCTCGTCTTATGCATTGGAACTTAATTTGACAGATTCAGAAAACGCCACTTGCCTTTATGCAAAATGGCAGATGAATTTCACAATACGCTATGAGACCACAGACAAACATAATGTAAGTATTTTTGTCTTTGAGTTTTATAGTAGGGATTTACTTCTACTCTTTTTTTAGCCTTTGTATTCATTTATACAAATAAGATTTCATATGTTAACTGACTTAACGTGTAAATTCTGTGGAGCTATTTTAGCATGTACACTTGAAGGTATTCTATTTAGTGTTGGAATGAATATTTTTTATTTTATTTATTTATTTAGGAATGAATATTTTAATTCATCAGTTCTTCAGAGGTTTTTTGGAGTTGGTTAAGGGCAAATAATCTGAAGACTGTATGGTGTTTCAGGTCTATGTACTTCTATTGTGTTTGTAACATGTACTAACATCAAAGCTTGTCCTTTTTTTAATAGCTTGCTATTAAAGTCTCCTTTGGGAGGGGTGGGGTATCCTCTCAATCCTTTTTGCCTTCTTATTTCTTTTGGTTAAGGTCCTGCTTGCTTACAATCTGATTTTTTTAAAAAAATCAACTTAATAACAGAGGTTCAGGCCGGTTTTCCTTTTCCTTTTAGACTTGCGTGGATTTGTCCAGAGGGACTGGTGTGTAGCTGAAGAATATGAGACTGGTCAGCACAGACGGGCCAGGCTGGCCACAGGGGGTGTGAAGTCAACTGCAGTGGCACCCCACTTGGAAATGCTTGTGCTCATTGCTGCCTGTTTGGGCCTAACTCCCAGATTTTTTTTTTTCTTTTAGAAAACTGTAACCATTTCAGACCTTGATGCTGCAACATACAGTGGAAGCTCTTGTGGGGATGACCAGAATGGTCCCAAAATCGCAGTGCAGTTTGGATTTGGTTTTTCCTGGATTGTGAATTTTACAGAGGAGATGTCTTTTTATTCAATTGACAATATCTCATTTTCCTACAACACTAGTGATAACACAACATTTCCTGATGCGAAAGAAAAAGGTAACCTTAAGAATTGGATTGTGTTGTGTTCTCTTGCTCTTGATTAATAATAAAAAGAAATGTAAATAATTTAAAAGCCATCCTTATGCAAGTCTGTCCTCCTGTTTGTAATGGAAACATCATGTCTTTGTATTCCCTTGCATGGCATAGTGTTTGATGCAGTAAGGATATTTGCTGTCATTGCTTGGTGCTTTACTATGTACCATGTATCAATAGTATCCTAAGTGTGTTGCCAGCAGCATCTCACTTAATCTTTAACAGCAACCCTGGGAAGTAGATGTTATCTCAATTTTACAGGTAAAGGGAATGAGGCTTGATGAGATTAGATGTCTTCCCCAAAGGTCACACAAGCTGGTAAGTGCATGAGCTGGTGTTTAAACCAAAGTGCGTTGAGCTTACGGAGTCCATGCACTTAACTACTATTATTTATTTCATTCAATAGTGGGCACTCAACAAGTGTTGAATGAATGAGAAAATCCTTTACCAATAACTATTTTAAATGTGTACAAGTTTAGTAACCTGAGACCAGCAGAAATATTTCATCTTCAAATCTTTTTTACCATTTAGGTAGGATTTTGACTGAAAAGTAAAAAAGGTAAGGGAAAAAAGTTTAAAAAAAAAAAACGTAAGATGACTGAAATCAACATTTGCTGCTATTTTGAGAGAATTTAGGTCAAAATGAACTTGGGAAGGCATTGGGAATTAGGCCATTGTTGTGACTACTAGAACTGAAATGTGTGTTAAAATATTTTGAAGGCATGGATAATGGAGATTTCAATCTTGTTAGGGATATAATTCTCTCCTTTCTCCCCCCTCCACTGAGATTGGGATATTAACACGGTGTTTGTAGTAGCTTTAGCATTTCTCACAGATAGTGTTTCATCCTGACCCCAGAAGCACAGGTAGATGGGCTTTAGTTTCCTGGACTTGGGGATGAGTGATTCATTTGGATTTATGGGATATCAAAAGATCATATTTTAAAGATCCAGAAGTGAATGAGCTCACGTAAAACTTGGGAGGTATCACTAACTGAGACTTGGAAATTAAATCCTAGTTTTCTTTTTACTGATGTCTTCGTTTGAGAGGATAACTAAAGAAAGTTTATTATTGGGTGTCTTGGTATTTAGCTTTCTGCCATATATTGTCTTTCAGAACTAGTATTAGGATTTGCCCCTAACTTTCACCGAGCTTAAAAACTAGTTGGAGAGACAAAGTGAAGTTGTTTACCCAAGTTACATGGATAAATTGGAAAGCATTGAGATCCTTGTGAATTTGTTATTGTTTGTGTTTTGGGCATAGAGGCTTCATAAATCTTTTCTGACAATGTGAGGAAAGCTCTAGACCCTCTCAAAGTACAGAGTAAACTTTGCATATGGTACACAGTCCCTGAGCCCATCAGTGGATGCCTGTGGACAAGAGGTCCTGATGAGGAGCAGAGGTCAGCGTGCATTGAAGGAGTGAGAAAGCTTGGTGTAGAGAAGGAGGACCTGAGCTGAAACTTGGCCTAATGGTAGATTTTGAATAAGTGGAGAATTTTGAGCAGAATATTTCCAGCAGGGGGAAGCATAGTACGCACAGCAGTAATTGGAGAGCTGCCTGATTAAAATGGAGGCTGTACGTGTAGTAGAAGGAAAATCAAGTTGGCTAGGTGCAGTGAGTCTAAATTATAGGGGGCCTTGGAAACCAAGGAAAGGCATTTATAGTTTGATGGGGTAGGCACTGGGGAGCCATTTTAGGTTTTTAAGCAGGAGAATGATGTAACAAAAGCAGAGACAGTGGTTTATAAAGAATGTTCTGCAGGATTAATTGGAAATGAGGAGACTACAGGCAGAGATTCCAGTTTAAGAGGCTGTTATAGGAATCAAGTGATGTAATGAGTAGCCCGACCAAGGGGGGTGGCAGTAAAAGCAGATGAGGTTTAATTTGACAGATTTGATGGAAAAACTGTGGACTCTGAAAGGTTAATGCCAGTCTCTCCCCCCCTTTATTTATTTATTTATTTTTATTTTATTGTTTTTGGCCACGCCGTGCAGCTTGTGGGATCTTAGTTCCCTGAGCAGGGATTGAACCTGTGCCCTCAGCAGTGAAAGCATGGAGTCGTAACCACTAGACCATCAGGGAATTCCCTCATCCCTTTTATTTTTTTATTTATTTATTTTTTTTGCGGTACGCGGGCCTCTCACTGTTGTGGCCTCTCCCGTTGCGGAGCACAGGCTCCGGATGCACAGGCTCAGCGGCCATGGCTCACAGGCCCAGCCGCTCTGCAGCATGTGGGATCTTCCCAGACCAGGGCACGAACCCGTGTCCCCTGCATCGGCAGGCGGACTCTCAACCACTGCGCCACCAGGGAAGCCCATCCCTTTTATTTTAAACAGGGGAAAATGCAATTTTTATTGCTAGCTTCTGTGTAATATTTGCAACTATTTGAGATTTTAAATGGCTTCCTTAAATAGACTGTTGATGATGTTTTTTTTCTTTTTTTAAATAAATTTATTTATTATTTATTTTTGGGTACATTGGGTCTTTGTTGCTGCGTGCAGCTTTCTCTAGTTGTGAGCGGGGGCTACTCTTCATTGCAGTGCACAGGCTTCTCATTGCGGTGGTGGAGCTCGGGCTCTAGGCGTGTGGGCTTCAGTAGTTGTGGCGCACAGGCTTAGTTGCTCCGCGGCATGTGAGATCTTCCCGGACCAGGGATAGAGCCCATGTCCCCTGCATTGGCAGGTGGATTCTTAACGCCTGCACCACCAGGGAAGCTCCACGTGTTTGTATTTGACTAATATATATGTCAATATATGTTCATAAACAATACATCATTTTAAAAATGACATAGTTTTATTTTTTAAAATTTATTTATTTTTGTTGATTTATTTTTGGTTGCATTGGGTCTTCATTGCTGTACACGGGCTTTCCCTAGTTGCGGCGAGCAGGGGGCTACTCCCGGTTGCGGTGCGCGGGCTCCTCATGGAGGTGCCCCACCCCCTTGTTACAGAGCACGGGCTCCAGGCGTGCAGGCTCTAGAGCGCAAGCTCGGCAGTTGTGGCGCACGGGCCTAGTTGCTCCGCAGCATACGGGATCCTCCCAGACCAGGGATCGAACCCATGTCCCCTGCATTGGCAGGCAGATTCTCAACCGCTGCGCCACCAAGAAAGCCCTAAAAATGACATAGTTTTATAGTGTAACTCCAGTATGTCTACAGCTTGTTTTTGCACTCGTTTTGTTTTTGAGGTCTATCTACATACAGCTAGTTCATACATCTATTCACTGATGTTAACAGTGGGAAACAGTTTTGGAGAAAAATGTTCTGGTTCATTGGTTTAAATTTTTTTTTCCTTTGGCCGTTAGGGGGTGCCAAGGCAGCATAAGTCCTGCCTTGCTATGTGATGGAGAGGCACAGAAGGCAGCCTATATTAAGGGCCTTGAATACCTTCCTTCCTTGCTTCTCCAAAAGAAGCTAAGCCATTTGGGTGGATAAGTGTGATCATAGTCTTTTGAAGTTTCACCATATAGGCATTATAATAACTCTGCACAGAAAGGTGGTAACTTATTGCTTTCATATTCTGAAATTTTCCTGAAATGGAATAGTCTTTAAATCCTATCCAGGAAAAGGTTTCGAAAACTCATTTTAGTTACTATAACTTACTTTGGGATAGTAGCACAAAAATAATCGTTGATTATTCCATATCTCTTCTTTGTTTCGTCACTAAGTCCTGTTGATTCTACCTTAGCTCTGTGTCTTCAATTTGGCCTCTTTACTCTCTTCTTACTGCCCCTCACTATCTTGGCTTAGGCAACTCCTCCTCGCCTTTCTCCTTAAGCAGCTCATTGACCTTCTAACTAGTTTCCCTCTTAAATGACTTTCCTTAAAAGTTTTCTGCTCTGCCTAACCTCTACAGTTTTACTATGTTCCTTAAAATAAATGATACATTTGTTATTCCCAGCTTTAAAAACTGAAGCCGACCTTCTATTGCTAACAAAATAAAGCCCAACCTGTCCTTAGATCATAGAAGATGCTTCAAAGTGTGACCACCTGCAACTTATCTTTCCTTCCTAATCCCCATCACGTCTTTCCTCTTACTCCTTGTGTTTCAGCCACAGTGAATTTGTCAGTTCCTGAACAGGCCTTGTCTTTTGTCACTTCAGGAATGGGGCGGGGCAGGCAGACAGAAGAGATGAAAGTCTAATGTATATTTATATGATCACTTTCCTCCTACCTTCTTGGAAATAGCTATTGTTAATCTTCTTTTACAGGAATTTTTACTGTTTCTAACCATGTGGCATTCAGAGTTCCATTGAATGACATCTTTAGATGCAATAGTTTATCAACCTTAGGAAAGAATGATGTTGTCCAGCACTATTGGGATGTTCATGTACAAGCTTTTGTCCAAAATGGCACAGTGAGCACAAAAGGTGAGCACTTAAAAAATATATATTTCTATACTTGGGTCCTAACTTAAGATTAGAGTATACCAGGTAGCTTTAGTTGAAGTCGTTATCTTAAAGCATTTATATGTTAAGACTTACACCTTACACTGCAATGTAAAGTTTTTATAAATAACAGCAATTCTTATTCTCGTGGAACTTGCACTTTTAAGTTTCTGATGTACATGTTGTGGAATGGTCTTTTAAAATGTGCTACCTGCAGTGTTTTCAGTGGATAAAACCTAATCTTTGAACAAATCCTCAGATAGCATTTGATCCTCAGCTCTTCAGCTTTTGAAGATCCAAGACAAAGGCTGAGAAATGGGATTTCTCTGTTCTAATCTTGACTTTTATAAATTGATTTTGTAACTTTTATGTGACTTTATTGGCAATACAATAATTTCTCGTGCACCAGTTCTGGAAAACTATCAACACTTCCTAAGAAGAGGTTGAAATAAAAAGGTTCATTTGTATTTAAATCCTTCAATGATTTTTAAACTTTTTTCAGTTAAAAACAGTATTTTTCCTTATAGTGGTTATATGTGGAAAAGAAGAGGGCAGGCCTAGGTAGGGGCAAACTGTTTTCAAACTTAAACCTCTGATTTTCACCTCAGAGGCAGATGAATTTTGGGGGGAACAAAGGGACTTAAGGGTATGAAAAGATGAGTGTGTGGCCACGTGTGAGTAGATAATGCATTTGTATGTGTCTGGAGCCTGTCTGCCATGTCATAACTCTTTAAGACTGTCTTCATGTGAAGCAGCAGTTTGAGGACCTCTGCCTCATTTAGTTTAAAATAATACTATCAAGATATTCTCTACCCTAAATATAACCCTTTTGGACTTTTATTGTGAGAAATATTTTGCTCTTCCCTGGCCTTATGAATTAAAAAATTTATTTTGTCCTTCGTTTGTTTCAGAGTTTTTGTGTGATAAAGATAAAACTTTAACCACAGTGCCGCCCATCGTTCCCACCACTGTGCCATCTCCTACTACAACACCCTCGCCAAAGGAAAAGCCAGAGGTTGGATCCTATTCAGTTGTAAATAGCAATGGGACATGTCTTCTGGCTACCATGGGGCTGCAGCTGAACATTACTCATGATAAGGTATAGTTGCCTGTTTTTATTGATACATTCTTTCTGTATCTCTTTTCAAATGTAGTGGGTCCAGCCTTCACCCCAAGAGTAGTGTTATTAGAATGATGCAGTTTTAAATAGAGATTTGTGTTGACTTGTAGAGTTTTGATTAATTTGAGTTATTATAACCGTGAAGAGTTAATGTCACTGTCAAGGTGTTGTCTTGGCCAGCAGGAAACCTAGTAGTTTAAAGGATTCTTTGGGGTGTAGATTCTTTTTGCCATCAGTAGATCAGAATACGAGCAGTTGATCTTTATTTCAGTTAGTTTAAAATATAACTCCTTCACACTTTTACCTGAACCACACTAGGTGTGGGACAGTGCAGCTGTTTCTCCAGCTATTTGATGACTTGAATGGTATAGGTAGATAGGTAGATAGAGGTAGGGGTGTACGATGGCACTTCTGGTTGCAGTGCTCCACTGGGGCTACAGAGGGCGTGCCAGCAAACCAGTCCCATTTTCAGAGTCCTGGGACTTTAAACAAGCTAGACAGATGGCTCTTGTGCTCCATTAAAAAAATGTGTTTTCATTTGGCTCATTATTTGAGGAAGCTTTCCTGTTGTCTTCCTCTTTTTTTTTTTAAGTCTTCTGAGTCATAGCTTGAGGACCTGGGCCAGCTTTGAAAGTAAGGTATCATACACTTAAGTATCCATATCTAAGAGACAAAAGGATTTTTTTGTTCTCCACGAACTTGGTCTTATTAGAGTATAAGGTTTTGCTGTAGATTTTTATGGTTCATCTGTAACTCTCTCCCCTCTTCTTCCCCTGAAGGTTGCTTCGGTTATTAACATCAATCCCAACACAACCAACTTCACTGGCAGCTGCCATCCTCAAACTGCTCTACTTAGGCTGAGCAGCAGCAGCATCAAGTATCTGGACTTTGTCTTTGCTGTGGTGAGTAACAGGTTTATCAAAAATTAGGGGAGCACATCTGAAAGTCTAAAAACGGGTGTGTGTGTGTGTGTATTTGTTGAGAGGGATAATTACCTCTATTTTCCATTTCAACACTACTTAATTATAAAGTGTATACAGTCCATTGATCCCTGTTAATCCCTCAGGGTCACTTTGATGTTCTGTGGGCTGGACTCGAATTCTGCTATTCTGTTTTTATGTAGACCTTAGGGTAGGAGTAAGAATTAACCCATATTAAAAAAAAAGTCTAACCTGTCCATATAGATGTATGTTATAATAAAGTTTATTTATAAAAGACAAAGTAAGTTCCATAATATTTTTCTCTATTATTGGTTAGAAAATTCTCATGTTTGTCCGTTATAATATTTTAGGCTTTTTCAAGGCTATACTATTTGTAATAGTATCAGTAATAATGATAGCTAACACTTATTGAGTACTCACTATGTACAAGGCTCTGTGCAAGTACTTTACGTGCATTACGTCAGGATAGTTTATAATGGCAGCATTCAGGTTTTTGTTGTTCATGATCGCATCAAGGGCTGAACCCTAAGCAGAAGTTTCCATGCATGTTCTGCTTCTAGGTAGCATAAATTGATCACTGGGGACCTTTATTTCCACCTCTCAGAAGCAGTTGTTATCCCCATAATTTTTCAAAGGGTGTGTGTGTGTGTGTGTGTGTGTGTGTGTGTGTGTGTGTGTGTGTGTATGTACACATGTTACAGCAGATTGGAATGGGGAAGAGGGGCTATCAATTAGGGAAAATGTTGGACCACCAAAGTTATTGTATAAGGGCCTAAAAAACAGTTTTGCTTTTAAATCGGATTACTCTTATCTAGGGATGGGGAAATAGTCTCAACATCTGATATATGAAAAGTTAGGTATGTCTTTGTTTTGTGTCTGAACTTGGTATTTTGAGTCTAAAGCCTCTTTTCTCTATGGAATATATGCTGAGTAATTGAGGATTATATTTTAGAAAGGTTTATAAAAACCTTCCCTTTTCCAGCATTCAAATAATTACTCCATTGTAGTACGTATATGACCAGTGAATTACTATTAAGAATGTCTAGTTAAGCTTGTCATCTTCGGTGTGATAAGAGCAGGCTTCCCAAGTTACCTCACAGAGATTATATTATAGTCAATAAGAATGAAGAAAGTAATATTTTAGATTCACTCCCTTTTGAGTGATTGAGCTTGATCTTCTTTCTAGCTGAGGTAAGATCCTAAAAGGAACATGGTTTCTTCTGACTCTCATGGGGAAACATGTAATATTTAATGATTACAATATTTAATTGCCCAGCAGACTATTCTAAAATGTAATTCAAAATAGTGACATTTTAACCATGATATAGGCACTTTGAAAAATCAAGAAACATCTGTCACCAGAGTTCAGTGGGGCCCATCTCACCTTCAATCCTATCATGACACTTACTTCTAAGCTTCAGATGCCCATGGATTAGTGGTAAAGATAGCAATGTACTAATAATTACCGTTTTTATGGAAGGCCTTGACTGTCATGCTGGCTTTTGGAATTGATTCTTTGGGCAAGTAGAGTGCTATGGGATGAGTGCTAGACCAGAGGAATATACAAAGTGCTATAAGAGTGTAGAAGAATGAGCCATTAATTCTAGCTAGAGTAGAGTCAGGAGGGTTTAACAGAAGAGATGGCATTTAAGCTGGACCTTCAAGGATGGGTCAGATTTGTACACATGGGGGAGAAGGTGGGGAGTAAGTGAAAAAGTACAAGCTACCCCTGGATAAAGGAACACAATCAAGACCAGGTGGAGAATGAGACATGTAGCATGTTTAGTGAATGATAACTTTGGAAGAGTACTTGGGACTAATTGTAGAGAGCCTTGAATGCCAAGCCAAGGAGAGATGCGATAAGATTGTTCAGGTCCTCTTTATGCTTCCTCCTGAAATTCTCTTAGTCTGCCCCCTGGTTTTCATTCCCTACTGATTCAGGCCTGCATTACCTCTTACCTGGACGTTTCACACAGGCTCCTAACTGGTCCCATCTCTTCCTCCCCTCCCCCAATGTACTTTGGCATCAGCTTGATCTTCCTGAAGCTCAGCTCTTCCTCAGAAACCTGCAGTGGTTCTGTTTTGCCGACAAGAAAACATCTAAATTCCATGCCAGGGTAGTTCAAGCCTCCCCTCCCTGCCATGCAATGTAACCTGCATATCCGGCTTTATGATTCCTTCTTTCCCTTTATATGAATCTCATGCTTCCCTTACCCTGTTCCCTGTGCACGTTCCAGGCTCTGCAGCCAGACTTCCTGGTGCCAAATCCCAGCTCACTGACTACTGTGTAGCCTTGTGGAAGTTACTCAACACCCTCCATAATTCAGTTACAAAATGGGGTGTTGTAATTCTTCCATTCCGTGAAGCCTCATATGTAAAGTTTTAAGAACAGCGCTTGTCACTTTGTAAGTTCTCAAATGCTCGTGTGCTTGTGATTATGCTCATTTTCTGACTACCTTTACTCGTGTGGTTGCTTTCTCGAATACTCGTTTCTGCTCGTTTCCTAATTGAATCCTACCCAATTCAAATGGCCCATTCCTAAGCTTGTGTTATCTTTGCTCCTCCCTTAGTTGGAAGTAACTTCTCGTCTTTTAATTTTCATAACCTATCACTTTTTTGTAATATGGTTATCTATTTATACCTATCTTCTCTTACCTGGCAGATTGCAAACGCGGTGGGGGCAGGAACCGTATCTGGTCCATTTTGATGGCTCCCTGGAACACTTAGATATGTTACCTTGTACATACTAAAAGCACTGAAATAATTAGAATGACTGGCTAATCAGATGAGTGCTTCAGAAAGAAAATAGCAGCGAAGGAAAGGTTAGAGCTGGAGAGGCTGAAAGGCAAGGAGCCCCGTTAAGAGGCTGTTGTGATCCAGGCTAGAGGTGGTGAGGGCTCAGAAAGTGATAGAAAGAATGGAATGGAGGGAGTGAATTGCTGAGTGTCTAAGAACCATATGAGCACACCTCTGGTCCAAAAGTTGGAAACAAAATGAAGAGGGAAAGGGTTTCTGTCACATTTTGAGTCCCTTTACTTAGTTGCAGTTTATTCTACTGGTCCAGGTCTAATCCATGGTTTTATCTTCTGGGTAATAGTATTAGATCCCTTTCTTTCTGTAGACATTAACTGTACCTGTAGACAGTTGTGATGCATTGCTTAACTGGAAGCTCTTTTTCACACAGAAAAATGAAAACCGATTCTATCTAAAGGAGGTGAACGTCAGCATGTATTTGGTTAACGGCTCTGGTAAGCAAAACATTGGCCTCTGGGAAAAAGAGTATGGGTTACACTGAAAGAATAGAAACTGTAATTATCTTGTTACCAAATAGTGCCTTATTTAATGGACCAGAAGATTCTATGTCAAAATTGTACTTTGACCATAACTTAAAATCAGTAACTTAGAACTAGAGTGTTCTATCTTTTGTAGTATCCCATATTTTCAAAGCATGGTACATAATAGTTAAGAATGTGAGTGAGTTTTAGACTGTAGAAACATCTATAGAAAGATACGGAACCTAGTGATCTTAAGAATGGCTTTTTGTGGGCAGACCCTGTACCCTAAGCCCCCATATTTCACAGAAAAATCCTGGGGACTGTCCCTTTTTGTTGTTGTTGTTGTTGTTGATGGGATAAGAAGTTACTAACATGTTTTTTTTTCCCCTTAAAGTTTTTAGCATGGCAAATAACAATCTCAGCTACTGGGATGCCCCCCTGGGAAGTTCTTATATGTGCAACAAAGAGCAGACTGTTTCAGTGTCTGGAGCATTTCAGATAAATACCTTTGATCTAAGGGTTCAGCCTTTCAATGTGATGGAAGGAAAGTATTCTACAGGTAAGAAGCAAGTTTTATTAATAATTTATGGTCTTAGGTTGACTGCTGGGTGGCTTTTCCTTTGAGTCATGGGAATATAAGCACTGAAATACAGTAATATGAATTCACCTCTCGACTCTGTTGTAGAGTTCTCATAGCCTTGAGCAAGTTGCGTAACTATATTTAGCTCATCATTTTGCTCAAATTAGATTTGTTTTGTGATCTCAAAACCATTTGTAACAAAGTTCTTAAAGCTAAAACTGATAGGAGATTTAAGTGAGCTTTACTTAAGGTGTAGACATTTCTCCATGGGTTGTAGTTTGTGGGAAGGGTGGCACTTGGGAGCAGCAGGTTTTTTTGTTTTGTTTTGTTTTTTTTTTGCGGTACGTGGGCCTCTCACTGTCGTGGCCTCTCCCGTGGTGGAGCACAGGCTCAGGACGCTCAGGCTCAGTGGCCATGGCTCACGGGCCCAGCCGCTCTGCGGCATGTGGGATCTTCCCAGACCTGGGCACGAACCCGTGTCCCCTGCATCGGCAGCCGGACTCTCAGCCACTGCGCCACCAGGGAAGCCCCAAGGGAGCAGCAGTTTTTGAGCATCTTGCCTCTGCCTTCTTGGGGCCATCTTCTCGCTGGAAACATTTTCATAGCAGAATTAAAGCAGTTTGGTCTCATTTTGTTAAGACAAAAGATTGCAGTAGGAAAGCCTCAGATATCATGACCCATGTTTTGGCCAGCCAGAAAGATCTGGAGAGTTTTAAAAGCATGTGCCAGTGTGAATGAGGCTTTTTGAAGGTCTACTCAGGGCTAATGGTGGTATTTATCAGATTTTTAGTGAAAGCTTTGTGAAGGGCTTATTACAGTGTGTTTATATGAATATGAAAGATGCATTTGGCATTACAAGATTAAAATTTGCTTGAAGAGGAAAAAGTACATAAAATTCCTTAATTGACTCGTCCTTTAAAACCAATTACTTAAAATTGACGGTTTGTGGATCACAGTTCTGCCCAGCAGAGCCATCCCAGTCATCCACATCCCTTTTAACAATTAATTCTATGGTTTAGAAGGAAATGTGGAAGCTGTGTTTAAAGTGAATGTGCTGTGAGCTGCTCAGCAGTTTTGCAGTAGTGCTGAACACCTAGCCTGACTTGGTTAGGCCAGAATAAATTGGGCTCTTCACCCTACCATTCTTGTGATTAGAAGGGTTAATCACAATTTAAAAGTACTTTCAAGAATTCATTTCCCCCTTTGTCAGTTTTGCTTACGAACTTCAATTATTTTGATCCTTTAATAGTTTTACTTTTGAGTCTTTATCGAGCTCCCCTACATTATTACCTTAATTTTAGGTCCAAATTTGTGTTTAGAACTTAAAATCATTTGCAGTGTAAAATCCGCTCAAGCCTGTTTATCTAGTCAGCTATAATAGACATGAGCTGTGTTTTTTCTCTAATTTGAAACTTTGGTTTTTATGTACGTAGAATTAGAAATGTCACCCAAAGGAGTATACAACATTTAGTACTGATAATGAATGCGTAATCTATTTGTGGAGCTAGGTTCTTGACTGTGGGTACCTATAAATACAACATGCTGGTTACAATTCACTGTTTAGGAGAGGAAATAGACTTTCAGTAAGGTAAGTGTGTCGATTGGATTTTACTGGATCAGACTACTCTCTAGAAATGGGGAAAATAGCCCCCTTGGGCTGCCAGCCCTGACCAGATTGATAAATGTGGTAACCACACTCAAATTAGTAAGAGGTCCCAGTTTCTTGACTTTTGCAGCCACTGAAAGCATATACTTGAAGTCGGGAATCTGCAAACTTTTTCTATAAAGGCTCAGACAGTAAGTGTTAGGGTTTGGAGGCCATGTGGTCTCTGTCACAACTATTCAGCTCTGCTGTTGTAGCATGAAAACAGCCACAGGCAATAAACAAATGAGTGAGGCTCTGTTCCAATAAAGCTTTACTTGTGGATACTGAAACTTGAATTTCATATAATTCTCATGAGTCACAAAATCATCTTCTTTTGTTTTTTTTCCAATCATTTAGAAATGTTCAAAAGGCATTTTTAGCCCTTGGGCCAGATTTGGCTCACGGGCTATAGTTTGCCCGATCTTTGCTCTAAAGGATTCCAGAGCCAGCACGGCTGTTCTAATCCCACAGTTAAACCTTCCTGATCTGCTCCGAGTTTCCCAAAAGACATTCGCTCTACCACTAAGAGTCTAATCCTGCTATGTAGCTATCTGGCTAGATTAGCTCTCTTCATTTCTGATAAAGTAATACTCCTATTTTGGAAAGCACTTGGAATATATACAAAGAAATATAGACACATGTATGTGTTTTACTCATAGATATAAATGAGTATATATTCATATATATCTATATATATACACATACATGAATGAAAGGACAAATAAGGTTTAGGATTTTAATTCTAGGACACTCCATAATTTTATGTAGCTTTATCACTAAAATATACCTGTCTTAATTACTTAAAGTTGATCTTATAAGAGCATTTCTGAATTTTGAATCAACATCTTTTACTTTTGGACATCATTTTTTAAATTATACTCATTATTTGTTACACACTTTTTCTCACCTACAGCCCAAGAGTGTTCGCTGGATGATGACACCATTCTAATACCAATTATAGTTGGTGCTGGTCTTTCAGGCTTGATTATCGTTATAGTGATTGCTTACCTAATTGGCAGAAGAAAAAGTTATGCTGGATATCAGACTCTGTAACACTAATCCACATGCGACTCTGTTACAAAACAATAAAGCAAGTACAAGATCCAAGATCCAACATGCAATACTATTCGATTTAAGGTATATATAGTTGCAGTTCTGATCTTAACAACAGGTGGTACAGAGGATTTCGAACTTAAATAGATAAAAATACCCCTAAAACTATAAACTATAAATTAGTCACATGATTTTGGTTTTCCCAACTAAGGAATTTAAAAGTTATTTCTACAGCAAAAAACATGTGCAAAATCACGTGGATTATAGATTCTATTTTATTGTCTTGAATTAGTACTGCATTGTTCTCACTTTAAACATTCTGACTAGAAATATACAGCTTAGGAAAGGGTTAACCGCACCTCCACAGGTAGTCGATTTGAGACAACACATTCTACGGTGGATTTGTACTTGCTCCTTTGCATTTTTTGGTGATTTTGTTTGCAGGTTAACTTAGCTGCTTTGGCATTGCTGTGTATTTGACTATGAGAGATATGCCAATAGATTTGAACAGGGTCTAGTATTATTATGTTCTTAGCAATGCATGCTTTTCTAATGCCTTTTGAATACATTTGTATTTAATGTGGCTGTAGTGACAAAAGATACAAAAGCTTTAAAATTTTGGAATAGGTGTTAATCTTATTGTTTAATCTTTTTAAGAAAAAAACTGGATATTTCCGTCTTTTAAATTGTAAGACACAAGACTATTCCAACTGGGCATTTCAATCCATTTTCTAGATGTTTTAGAGATAATTGCTAGGCAGTGCCAATTTGGGGTGTTAGTCCTTTGTCCCCATAAATTGGCTTCTACATGCAGTGCTAAAATTAATGTAGATTTCTCTTTAGCTTTCTAGTATCCTTGTTGGTGATGGTTTGTTTTATTCTCTTCTTTTCTTTTCCTTAAAGAAGAAATGCCAGTATGTCCTAGAACCTAGATAAAGAACTTGCACCTAACCCAAAAGTCTTGGCCTTCTCTTTGTTCATGAAAAAGCTGTTCTTTGTTTCCAGCTTGTGTTGATTGCTACAACATTTACTAATTTGGCTTTCACATTTAAATAGTTCTGTGCTACTCAAAACTTACATTATTATTGTTCATTATGGTAGCATCATCATTAATTCATGTACTTTGTGTTCAGTTCTGTGCTCTGGGGAGTTGCACCAATTGTCCATTTAACCTGCACCACCTAATGTTTATGTGAGAAAGCAAAACATTTCTCCTTGATAGTTAGCACATCAAGTATTTCTTGCTGCTTCTGTGTTTCTTTCTTTTTTTTTGGTATTGAGATGGCTGAGCAAATATTAAAAAATTGTTAACATGCAGCAGTATACGGCAGGTTCCGTGTTTTGGGGAATGGGAGATTATGTGTGCCTCCCATTCACTAGAAAATGAGGTATCTGGGTTCCAAAATGTTGTTTGCGTTGAATAAATTTGGTGGTCTAGTGACACACACACAGAGGCAATTGCATGTTAGCATGTGTATGTCTATAACTACCTTTCGAGTTATATTGGCATGATAAATATTTTCTCCCACCTAAATTTGCTCTCTGTTTAGAGTAGCCTGAAAATCTTACTGGCTCAGAATAAAGATTCCTAACTAAGCCCCTCTCTAAAAGCTACATTGAGCTGCATTGCCAGCTTAAGGCACTTTTTAAAGGCTAAATATAAATCTGATTTTTAAAAAATATTTTTTATTTAAATAGTGTTTTAGTGTAAGATTGTTAACGTTGTAAGAATGGATAATGCTTGCAAGAATGTGAGCCTTAGATATTTCTCATGAGTCAAAACAAAGCAGCTTTTTTAAAAAATAAAAATTGGAAGCACAAGTGGGTGGCACACTGGCTTAATGCTGTTAATGTTTCTAAAAGTTTCTACCTTTAGATTATATATCTGATTTATATTAAGATACCTCTAATTAGTACTGTTTTATAGAAAATCTGACTTAATTGAATATTTTTGTATTTTACATGGGCCAGTTTATATGCTATCATTTACACTATCATTTCCCATAGCCATGTGTTCTTTGTACCTTTTGTAGTTTTGCTTTAACGGATTTACACCTTGATGATCTAACACTCTGTTTGGTTTCTGGGTGTTTTTCATGGGTTAGCATTTGTATAAAGAAACTGGTCCATGTAAATACTTTCCATGTTTTTTCCTCAGATGTTTAAACCACTAGTTGATGTATGGTATTTCTCTTCAGATATTTGCCTGTCCATTTGCTCAACAATATTGCTTCTAAAACAAACAATAAAGATTCTTTTATTTCTTAAGGAAATTTGCTCACATTTCTTTCCCATTGGCTAAAGTCTAGATTTTGTATACTACATAATGGCAATTTCTTCCAAAAGGAAAAACTTAAGAAATGCTTAGAAGTAGAATTAATTATTTCCAGAATGTTCTGTGTATTACTGTCTGGAAGAGTGGTCCCATACGTAGGTCCCTACTGATGTTGGAGTAGCTATAGAGTAAGAATCAGGTCTGGGATGAGACTGTGTGGCGTGCGCGCGCGCGCGCGTGTGGTGTGTGTGTGTGTGTGTGTGTGTGTGTGTGTGTGTGTGTGTGTGTGTGTGTGTGTGTGTGTGTGTGTGTGTGGTGTAAACTCCCCAGCTGAATCTAATGTTTAGGCAATTAGGAAACCAGTGATCTAGAATATTTATTTCATAGTAAAAGTGACAGAATATCTCTGTACACTTTTCTCAGGTCCTAAATTGAGGCTGATGTTTAGTATCTGTACATTTCGGCCACACAAACTGACCTATTGATCCGAGCCAAAATAGGATTGTGTGTAATCTTTTTTTTTTTTTTTTTTTTTTTTTTGCGGTACGCGGGCCTCTCACTGTTGTGGCCTCTCCCATTGCGGAGCACAGGCTCCGGACGTGCAGGCTCAGCGGCCATGGCTCACGGGCCCAGCCGCTCTGCAGCACGTGGGATCTTCCCGGACCGGGGCACGAACCCGTGTCCCCTGCATCGGCAGGTGGACTCTCAACCACTGCGCCACCAGGGAAGCCCTAATCTTTCTCAGATCACCTTAAAATGCTTGAACCTTCCAATTTCCAGATAGCTTCCCAGTCCAGCTTAGTATATCACACACAAAAATTTAGCAGCCTGGCTAGTTGCTTTCCCCTGGATTACCCAGTTAAGCCACGTGACTGCCAGTTAGTCATCAGAGCTCCCAGCTCTACTAGCTACCATGTGACTTGGTCAAGCTACTCAACTGGGGTCTCTCTCATTTTTTCATCTGGGGACTGAGGGCTGTTAAGTCCTGTTACTCTTATTTCTTTGAGTGATAGTTTTTCATTTCAATGAAGAAAAATATACATTTGAGTATTTTTAGAAGGAACCTGATTAGAAGCTACTTCTTAGGCATCAAGAACATATTTACATACAGTGTAAAACACACCATCTGAAGTTTCTTGCGTTTTTTAAGGAGGAATTATTGTGAGACTCAGATATTTTTAGGATTATAGCCTTTTATCTCTGTTTATTTAGAAAGATAATGTTACATTGTCTTGGGCTCAGCTCTCTCCTACCTGTCTCCTGATCTTTTACCCTGGTACATAACTTTCTGCATCAATAATTACCATATCTTATTTTTGAAACTAGTATAGAGTAACTTCAAGTATCTTTTCCGATTCATGTAATATATTTCAAACAGTTTGACTATAGATCTAAAAGGTATATAATAGATAAGATGTCACATAAGGATGTGCTTCTAAATGCTGATTCTTCCAAAGAGAATTTTTGACACATTGGTTTTGAAGAGGTGTTTGTTTTAGACTTTATTATAAATGTACATCTCGGCTTTTCAGCCCTCACACTGAAAACTGTATTTGAAAAATTTCTGAACTAACAGAAAATTGAAGATAAACAGCATTTTAAAAATCTCCATGAACCTTTCCATTGAGATTTCAATGGTCCATGAAACTTTGTCTTTAAAAATCTTCATTTGCTTCCGTGACTATTAAACTCTTCTACAAATACACTTTTCCTTTCCCCAGAAAGGTCTCAAGTGTACATTAGGCAAATAGATCAGGTCAAAATGACTTATAGAATGAGGTTTTCTTTTCTTGGATGTGATTTTATTAAAATTACTGTTTTACCAAAATTTCTTTCCATTACCTAAAGAATTTTTAAAGGCCGAGTTCATAAAAATCAATAATTATTATAAATTAATACTTCACATACTAACTGAGAGCATTTTAAGTAAATGACAGCATCTAGAAAGATCTTTGTATTAGCAGAATTGCCTTTTTGATCTACTCTGGGAATATTTGTCTTGCATGAAAGCCTTAAGAAAGCCTTATTGGCAGTATTTATGAAAGACCTTTCAGTACTAGGTCAAATACCCAATTTGGGAAAGAGGAGTATGAATTCATTGCCAGAATAAGAAATTCATCTAATGAATTTTTTAAAAACCAAGTTATATTAAATCCAAGGCATAATACTTTATGGTCATGTCACCTAATAGTTTATATGCTGGGTGGTAATTTGGGAAATTGAAGGGGAGGAGCTAACTGGGTGCTCTTAACACCACATATTCACAAGTCACATCTGGCAACCTCAGCTATCTGGATTTTTAACAAAACCAAGAAGCAAGTAAAAAAGATCATTGAGCTGGCAGCCAAAATTGATGTCATAACATCCATAAACTCTAGGATTGCATCTTGTTCCCAGTTATTGCCCCAGAGACTAGCAAAAGGCTGGCACATTTCTTACATGCAAACACAATCAGATGTGCCTTGCAGCTATTCATTTTTATTTTCGGCACAGTTCTAATAAGTTTAATTCTCTGATTTATCAATCCCTGGTAAATTGCAAGCTAGGAGGAGAACTAGGGCAATAAGAGGCAAGGAAATGGAAAATAGAAGCGGTGGTTCAACACGCTAGCCACCTCCTCTCTCTGCAAACATATCTCCATCTGCACTATCCCTTTCTTCTCCAGTCTCAGTAGGTTTTCTTCTGGTCAGTGCTTCTGGAATCCCATTTCCCCTGCCTCCCAGGAGACTTTGTACCAGCGTCTTCAACCTGTAACATGCTCGTGGCTCTTTCCCTCATCCT